TCTCTCTCCACGGGAGTTTAAGATAAGATCTTGGGTTGGGTTCTCCTTCTCCTCTTTGAAAAGAGCTCAAACAGACACATGAACATATCTACATTAAACAGCTACCTTCTCCGGCGAATGGAAGCAGCGATTGGAGATAATCTTCGTCTAGCAGTGGCTGAGAGAACAGAGTAGGGAAGATGTGTGAATGGAGAGAAGGAAGAAAAGAAAGACCCATGAAATGGAGAGAAACGTACATGAACCAGCAACCTTATCCGTCTGTTCGTCGTCGTCGACGCAACAACGGAGAGTAGGTTAACAAATGAGAAAGGGTAAAATCGTAATTATGCCGGGATATCCAGTCGGTGGCCAAGTTACCCACTCTCCCCATGGGTTCCCAAATAAGTAGGTTAAAATCTAGTGTTCATGCCGGGTCAAGATTCATTAAACCTGATTTGGATTTCCGAAGTCTTTTTTAACTTAGTTGGATAACTGGGGTCCACTTTTTTTTTTTTTTGCCAATCTTACATGTGTTAACCCTTATAATCCGCAATTCAACAATTCAAACACACCCTTAAGGCCGGATTGTTTGTGGTATTAGATTTGAGTAATATTAGAAATCATTTCTATTTCATTCCTATTCAATGATATATTATACTTTGTTTTAAACATTTATCTCATCCTTTGGTTGCTTGTATGTTTGTTGTTCAACAGGTACTATAGTGAGTTTCACAAACAACCATCAATTCTATCACATCTTATATAATAAATATACCATTTTACCCTTATCTCCCATTCAATTACTCTATTTGTGTAACATTTTTGTACAATATTTGGTATAATAAATAATCTAATGCTATGAATTGGTGATCCTGTAAAGAAATATTAAAAAAAAAAAAATTCAAAAATTTTTTTAAAAAAAAAAACCGTTAATATCGTACACTTAAACATAATATAAGAAAAAATTCAAAATAATTTTTTTTAAAAAAAAATCGTTAAGACCGTACGCTTAAATATAATACAAAAAAAAATTTAATTCAAAATAATTTTTTTAAAAAAATTAAAAAAAAAAAATGGTGACAATGTATGCTTAAACATAATACAAGGAAAAAATTGAAAATAATTTTTAAAAATTTTTTTTTAAAAACAATCAGTGATACCATACACTTAAACATAAATATATAAAAAAATATAAAAAAATTTTTTAAAAAAAAAATTCGGTGACACCGTATCCTTAAACATAATATAAGGAAAAAATTCAAAATAATTTTTTTAAAAAAACAAGTGATACAGTACGCTTAAACATAACACAAAAAAAAAATTCAAAATAATTTTTTTATATATAAACTCTTAACAGATGAGGGCATTTGTGTCATTTTACTCTCTTATATCGTCCTTTCATTTGTACTGGAAAGATAATATCACCTGATGGGTGGTATTCAATATTACCATATAGAAGACATTTAAGACAATGTTCATACCGGGTAAGTTCTACGACCCGAAAAATAATACTTACCGAAAAATGACAAACAAACAAGATATAAGGTGAGCCCTACATACTATTTCTCTAATCTCACCCTTTTATACCACTTATATCCTGCAAACAATCAGCCCTTAATCTATTTCGAAGACTGGTGCTCATTTTTAACCAATGGAAAAAGATCTGAGAGTAGAGTGAAAACTAATTTTCACTTTTGGAGAAGGTGGATGCAGGCCTTAAGTCCATACTTACTCCCTATATTTTTCTTTATTAGTTGGTAGGGGTCAACTTGGTGGGAATAGTAGGTTGAGAAGTAAACTTGGACTCCACCCAAGTTACAAAACATTCAACATTTTTAAACTTTTAAATCCGAGTATTGTCTAAGACCAAAATTTTAAATTCAGTTTGAAAATTCAACTAATACAATTAAGTTTAGACTTCGGGTTGAAGCTAATTTGATTATTGGGTTATGAGGTTCAAGTTACAATTGAATTGAATTTTTGAAATTTAAAATATCTCAGAATATTGTCTCAATTTCAATTGAGTTTTATCGAAGGACAATCTAAGTATTAGAAATCTTTAGCTAAAATGATGAACGTTTTGAATTGATATATTAATCCCATTGGATCTCTATTTGTTTTATTTATTTATTTGATTGACCAATGTTATTCAATATGTCCCACAACACAATAATAAGAAACAAAATTTTTTTAAGGGTGGTTCAGTAGTAGAAGTTATTTTTTAATAACTCAAGTCTTAGGTTTAATCATTGTTTATATTTGATAGTGCTTGAAATTTATAACCCAAACCCAACTATGATGGGATGATGTTCTGAGTTGATTTCGCGGATTATAGATTAATCTTTGATGATTAGTTAAGTGGTTCATCTTAGCCAAAGGACTAAGACTACATTCACTATCAACGGAGTCTCTTGCTCGTTGGGTTTGTGCATTCATCAATCGGAGGTGCGCCTCCTGAAAACTAGGGACTCTGAGTCCATTTTACAAAAGATGATTATCTAGGTATTCTCCCTTGCCTTTCTATGTTTTTGGGTTCTTGAAAGTTCTCAGATCTGGGGGGGAGGGGAGATGTTCTTCCCTGGATTATCGTTTTCTATTTATATTAGTCCCTCTTAGGGCCTTCAGCTGTCTTTCCCTTTATATTGATCTTTCTTGTCTTTTTCTCTGCCCCCCTTTGCTTCTTCTGTCCTCACGATCACTGTTCATTTGACGCCCCCTATTCATCCGGTGTTGCCATCGCCATGATCTCTGGTGGTCTAGTTTTCCACCTTCTCTGAGATTGTCGTAGGTGTCAGGAGTGGTACCCTGGATTCCTAGGGTGTGTGGTACCCTTTGGCTATCCAAAAATAGCTTGGACCGAGCTTTCAATCTCCAAACCGTTTTATGGTTTGGACTAAGCCTGGATTGTTAGGTTATAGGCCTTTTGCTAGTGCTGAGTTCTCCTTCTATACTCCGGGCCTGTTGGGTTGGTCAGGCTTCTAGGCCACCAAAGCCCTAGCCTTGAATTTCGTCCTCGTCAATATCCTTTAAGAGTTTATCACCCTTGTTTATTTGGGGATATTTTCTAAATCAGCACAAGTGACGGTGACCAACTGTTAAATTTAAAATAATAGTTGACACAAAATCAAAAAACTTAAAACAAAAAAAAAAAGAAAAAGAAAGGAACAGGTCATTGACAGGCCAGAGATACCTTTAGAATGGAGGAAGAAAGGAACAGGTCATTCACGTGTGTGTGTGTGTGAAGAGAGAGAGATGCCTTTGGAATTCGCAACCAACTAGAACGTGAACCCATGTGTCTTTGGGCGACAACAACGGCACTTGACAACACACTCTGATGATGAGACTCTTGGCTTTGTTCCCACTTCTCCATAGATGAGAAGATTATTGTACGGAAATGTATACATTTTTTAGATAGAAATTATAATTAAAAAAATAATAAAAATTATTTTTTTTTAAAATTAAATTACACCGTTTAAAGATAAAATTATAATTGATCTGTTTTATTCACGAACAATCATAATATTTTATGATAGATTATGAAATTATATCAAATAATTATAATTTTTCCTTTAAAAGATATAATAAAAAGGTCTAAAATTACCCATTTGAGAAATATTTGTTCTCTTCTTGTTCAACAACTTTTTGATTCCTTGTTCAATGGTGTTATGTTGTATTAATTTTAATAATATAGAATAAAGATTTTAATAATACGGATCCTATTTATGTCAATAAATATTTATTTAATTGCAAAACAATTCATAAAATATTAGATAAAAAATAAAAATAGCATACTTTTTTCTTAAAATACCTGTTGAAAGTGCTGTTTATTTTAATTGACCATATTGTTATTAATTTTGTGATGTATCGAGCTTGATTTATGTTTTATGTTATTTTCTTTGCTATTGTAAAACATATATTAGTAGGGACCCACTAAATCAGACAAATGCGATAGAACATCGAAACATATATTAATAAAGACCCACTTAATCGAATAAATGTGACATAACATCAAAAGAATCTAATATAGCAGTAGATTTGAATCCATACAAACCCACTGGTCCAACCTCTACATGGGGCCAGGCATTGCTCGCGTGTTTGTTTGTTGGATTGATATCTTCTATCTTTTCATAAAGATGGTGTTGGAAAACAGTGGGTGTATTAGTTATCAAACATGATTTTTTTGTGTAATTTGGCCCTTCAACCTTTCTTATAAAGGGAAATTGACATCATTGATCACTTGCTGTTGCAAGTTGATTGGAAAGCAACTTATCCTTTGAGAAGAAAGCACCTTTTCTTTTAAGCCAAACACTGAGTAAAGTTTTGTTGGGAAAGAGTATTGACACCGAAAAATAAAATTTTTTGATACTATAATAAGAGTAANAGATTTATGTTTTATGTTATTTTCTTTGCTATTGTAAAACATATATTTATGTTTTATGTTATTTTCTTTGCTATTGTAAAACATATATTAGTAGGGACCCACTAAATCAGACAAATGCGATAGAACATCGAAACATATATTAATAAAGACCCACTTAATCGAATAAATGTGACATAACATCAAAAGAATCTAATATAGCAGTAGATTTGAATCCATACAAACCCACTGGTCCAACCTCTACATGGGGCCAGGCATTGCTCGCGTGTTTGTTTGTTGGATTGATATCTTCTATCTTTTCATAAAGATGGTGTTGGAAAACAGTGGGTGTATTAGTTATCAAACATGATTTTTTTGTGTAATTTGGCCATTCAACCTTTCTTATAAAGGGAAAGTGACATCATTGATCACTTGCTGTTGCAAGTTGATTGGAAAGCAACTTATCCTTTGAGAAGAAAACACCTTTTCTTTTAAGCCAAACACTGAGTAAAGTTTTTTTGGGAAAGAGTATTGACACCGAAAAATAAAATTTTTTGATACTATAATAAGAGTAATTATGAAATAATGATAAAATTACGACAAAAGTTGACGAGTTCATTAGAAATTGAGTTGTTTAGTATCAATAGTTTCAGTTAAGATCAACCTTTTTCGAGAAATTCATTCCATTGCATTTCCAAATCTTCATAACCAAGTGGAGAATATCCAAACTACAGAGCTGCAAACTGGACAAACTGAACAAACAAGCTAACATAGATTACAACAAGGAACAAGGGAAAGAGAATGAACAAACATAATCAAACAAAACCACCATCACCATACTTCCTATTCCTTCTCACCTCCCATCTGCGGATGTGAAAGACTCAGCAAATCCATACGGCCTAGTGGGTATGCTGGTCTGAGTATTGTCCAAGCTAGGAAGGAACGACGAAGAAGAAGAATCCATATGACTTTGTCCTTCAAACGCCTGCCACTTCTTGAGTGCTTGTGGCAATGACATTTCGAGGTCAATGCCATAGACATCATCCGAGTTCTGGTCAGATGGTTTCCATAGCTCGACAAGAGAAGATAGCACATTGACAGCATGACCCATGTCGGGTCTTTGATATGGCTCCCTTGCAGAGCAGTGGCCAGCAAGTTCAGCGACAGTGCTGATGCTAGCAAGCGTTTCCTCGTTGAGGTCAATTGTGGGGTCAATGGCCTTGCGGAAAGTATCCTTGTTAAGGTGCATTCTTCGGAACCATGTCACAAGATGCATACTCTCTTCAGGCTGGCTCTCATCGAGTGCTTTTCTTCCTGTAATCAACTCCATCAAGATCACCCCAAAACTGAAGACATCGACCTTAGTAGTCACTCGCCCAGTCACTGCAGCAATTTGGGAAAACATCAATTGTATACTCTCATTACATTCTAAACGACAATACAAACCAGCAGAGAAACTGATTTCAGGTTTAGCGAAGTTAAACATAATTTGAAGATTTGAATTGTTGCCAAAGAAAGCATCAAGATGATAACATTTTTTTTTTAGGTGGGTCACTGGTGCATAAGCTAAAGCACCTTCAAATAAAATCATGAACTTTGTAATCCTGTCCCTAAATAAACTCCAGCAATAATGACAAGTATGAGTTTTATTTAGAAGGCTATTTGTAGATAAAATTCATGATTTCCAGGTCCATCGGTATAAAAAGCTACCCGGTTTAATCATGCATTTGGTGCAAATGCTTCAAGCCAATAGATACACTAAACTAGCTAAAACATATGCCGGATTTTAACAAGTGCTGTTTGTTTGGATAAGGTGGTGATGGCCCATCTGAAATCACATCAGCTTATTAATTTATTATTTGCGGTGATAAGTTACCATCTTCAACTCATTTAGGTTTTTCCATGGAAGATATAAAGATGATCATGAACTTGAATATAATAAACACCATAGATAGCTAGATTGAACCACAGGACTTCAGGGGGAAAATAAGACATTTTAGTAAGAAGTGGATTCTTGGGCGCAGACTACTCTGTAAAATAATAACAATATTAACAAGTAGAATTCTGAATTCAAATTCAATATTTCGTGCAGCCTTTGTTCATCTCACCTAATTCACCATTCATTTGCTATTAGTAATCGATTCTAGAGCCGAGCCGACCCTATTACCAGATTGACAGTGAAACTATCAAACTAAAACTAAGAATAGACAAAGTTGTAATAAACTTATACCTGCATATTCCGGTGCTAGATACCCAAATGTTCCAGCAATTCTTGTTTCAATGGAGCCTTTTCCTTCAGGAGCAAGCCGCACAAGACCAAAATCTGAAACCTTAGCCCTCATATCATCCCCAAGCAGGATGTTGGAAGGCTTTAGGTCCCTGTGTATGAAGCTCTGATGGGCCAAACCATGGAGGTACTCAACACCCCTAGCAACGTCGAGCGCAATGGTCAACCTTTTCATCCATTCCAATGGTTTCAACCCTTCCTCTCCCCAGTTAAAAAGACACCTACTAAGGGTCCCTTGAGGCATATATTCATAAACAAGAAGTTTCTCGTTCCCATCAAGACAGTACCCAAGAAGAGCAACAAGATGTCGGTGTCGAACCTTGGTCAAAACACCAATCTCAGACTTGAACTCTGCCAGCCCCTTCCCGGCTATCACCCCAGACTCCATTCTCTTTACCGCAATCTTAGTTCCATCATGCAACTCTCCTTTATAAACTGTCCCAAAACCCCCTTGGCCCAGTATGTTTTCTTCACTGAAATTGTTTGTCACACTCTTTAAAACTTGGATGGAAATAACCATATTTCCTGCTTCAACCATTTGGATGTCACTGGTTTCAGAGGTAGAAACAGTATGGGTTTCACTCATTGCACCAACACTAACACTTGATCCTGCAACCGTAATCTTCACACTTTCATTATCTGATCCTGAATGGGGAGGATGAATCACCATGACATTCGGACTCTGTACCCTGCTAAACCGCTTTTGTTTACTTCTGTATATACAGAAAGCCGCTAAACCAAGCAAGAAAACCACACAGAATCCCCCAATTATTGAAAACACCACGATACCTGTCCGATTTCTAGATTTTCTACGACCCATTTCCAAACCTCCTTTATTTTCAGAACCAGCACTTGAAGGACCAGATGCGCCCTGAGAAGGGATGCCTTTAGAAGTAGCATTATTCTTATCTTTACCAATATCTGGGTTTCCATTTGTTTTTACAATGATGTTCTTCTTAAAGGCCGGTACTTTACCGAAAAGGTGGTTGTTTGACACATCTAATTCAGTAAGTGCAGGCATAGTATTGAGCTCTGCTGGAATTATCCCAGTGAGATTGTTATCAGAAAGAACCAATCTTTGCAGAGACTTAAGCGAAGCAAATTCAGGAGATATTGTACCATTAAGACCCATTTTCTGAAAATTAATAATGGTAATGTTCCCATTGTTGCAAGTGATCCCAAACCAATCCGCACAAGGATCATTCCCCTTCCAATTCTCTGCAAACTTTACCGGGTAATCCATTGATTTTACAATTGAAACTAAAGTATTCACTCGAGGATCACAGTCACCAGGTTGTGGCAAACAGAAGCTATTTGTATCGTTTGCCATATCCACTAAAACTGAATCATTAAACTTTGGCATTGGTCCTTGAAGCAAATTATTGGTCAAATTAACAACTCTCAAGGACTCAAGATTGACCAAAGACACTGGAACAGGACCAGAAAATGAATTGTCTCTAAGGCTTAAGATTTCCAAACCCTTCAACCCCGAAAAATCCGGCAATGGCCCAGAAAATACATTGGAATGCAACCAAACCTCCTTTAAGAATGTCATGTTCTGGATAACATCTATTCCTCCACTTAGTTTCTGCCCATTAACCCACAAAGACTCGATTTGTGAACCCGAAAAACTCACAGGCAATTCACCTTCCAAGTTATTCAAAGCCAAATGCAAATTAATCAAGCCTGGAAACCCATCTGGGCCTAAAAAATCTGGTATTTTCCCACTAATATTCGCAGAATTTGCTGAGAAATTTTGAAGTGTTGAAGCATTTTTAAGGCTCTCAGGGATTTCCCAAGCAGAGAAAGGGTTGTTATCAATCTCAACAGATGTTAATGAAGACATACCAACAAAGAAATCAGCAGGCGTTGAACTAAACTGGTTGTTACTAAGCATTAACACTTGTAATGAAGTCAACCCATTTAAGCTTGGTAATGGACCAGAAATGTTGTTCCACTGAAGCTCTAAGCGTTGCAGTTCAGTGAGGTTAGAGAGGTTTGGAGGGAGTTTACCTTGAAGGTTTTGGCGCCCGATTTGGATACGGGTAACCCGTTTGTTATCTGAGCAGCCCACGTGGATCCACTGGCATGGATCTGGGCCAGACCAACCCAGTTCTTCAGGTGGGTTAAGGCTCTTCTTCAGAGCTAACATTACTGAGGTATCATCTGAGTTTGTTTGAGACTCTGCACAGAGTAAAATGGAAGATAATCCAAAAACCAAAAGAGCTAAAAGCTTGAGCTCAAGATGGGTTCTCATCTTGGGAACCTTTTTGGCAGAGAAAAAAGAGAAACTTTTAGAGAGAGAAAGAGGTGTAGGTGATGTTCAGGCAGTGGTGCAGAATACTTTCAGGGGTTTGGAGGAGCATTGGATGCTGAAGCTATAGAGAGATAGAGAGAGAGTTTTTGAGGAGGGTGATGAAATATTGGGGAGTTGGAGTAAGTGAGAGGAGAGGAGAGAGCGCACATGCCTGTGGGGTCCACATAACTGAAAGCTGAATGGCTGTCCTAAAATGACAGTTTGGAAATGCTGGAAATATAAGTGGATGATTCTTTGGAAAATGGGCCTGGCCCACTTGACAACTGCTTTGTGTCCGTGACTATGAGTGTGTTTTTAAATTTAGTGAAAATCGGGGGCGAGTCCGATGTATTTGTTTCTAGGTAATTATTGGAAGAAAATTTATAAGGGATTAAAAAAATTTATAAGGGATTAAGTTCATGTTTAAAATTATATATAATGATTTAAATTTATTTATTTTTATCTCAAAAATACTCTTTCTTGAAAGGAAGGTAATCTTTTTTCTCTCATATCTATCTATATTCATATATAGGTTAAGAGTTTGATTAATATTAAAAAAATTTCTTATATATATATATATAGTAACATTAAAAAAAAATAATAACATTCAAATATAAAAAACTATGAATTTGAATAGTAAAATTCAAATTTATGTTATTATTATTTTTATTATGTTACTGTTCATGTTACTTCTTTTGTTGAGAATGTTACTGTTCATGTACTATTATTTTTGAGCATGTTACTGTTTTTTGTTGACCATGTTACTACTATTATTTTCCTAAATATTAATATGCAATGTTACTATTTTTTTTAATATTACTATTTTTTGTATTTGAATGATACTATTTTTTGAATTTAAATTTAAGAGAAATAATTATTGTTAAATATGTTACAAATTTTGTTAAACATGTTATTATTTTTATTGAGCATGTTAATATTTTTTTTGAATATGTTATTGTTGTTATTTTTTAAAAATATTAATATTGAATGTTTCAATTTTTTTTATGTTTACTATATATATATCTTATATATATAGATAGATAAGAGAGAGAAAAAATTTCAATGTTAGTTAAACTCTTAACCTATATATAGATATAAATAGATATGAGAGAAAATATTTTAATGTTANATATCTTATATATAGATAGATAAGAGAGAGAAAAAATTTCAATGTTAGTTAAACTCTTAACCTATATATAGATATAAATAGATATGAGAGAAAATATTTTAATGTTAATCAAACTCCTAAGATTTATGAGTTTTTAATTTTTAGTTTTATTCCACTTTTAAAGGGAATGAATAGTATGATAAAATTGACAAAAAACGAATTTCATAACAAATAAATTTTTTGACAGATTTAAATCTAAACAAGTTTATATAGGGACCGGCCTCCAAATTTTCTTTCAATTTAAATTCCTGCCCAAAAAATATATATATATATTCTTCACAGACTTCAGTATTGCATGTGAAGTGAACCTCAGGCTACAAGTCTGAATTAGGCCACGATGGCCCACTGGCCAAAAGCCAAGACAGGCCTAGACCATAGGTCAACCACGGACTGGATAAGAATAGCTTTAAAGGCTAGCCCCACAACATACAACTCGGGTTTGTAACGGGCCAACCCAAGGGGAAAAAAAACCTTTAGCTAACTTACAGTTTTAGGTATACAGTGTAAAGATGACAGACTCTTGGTTCTATTCTTGTAAACTCTTGGGTCACTGGTTTAGCTTAATGTAGTGGGTGTAATGTAACTTCGGTTGGAGAGAACATGTGGATGGCCCTGTGGTCGATCTCCTGTTGTTGCTGCGGGTTCGATCTTTGTTGCCCCTTCACCAAGTAAATCTAAATTTGATTATAAAAAAATAAAAAAATTTGAGTCGACCAATCCAAACTCAACACAAAACATTTGTTCATTGGGTAGAAATTTTTTATATTTAAATTAGGTTTAAACAAAAATATTTTCATCTGATTTAAATTTAGACAATATAGGGATTGTCAAATTGACATCCTTAGTTCTTGGAACCTAATCCAAAACTGAATTTCATTACATATCAACAATTAGGTGAAAATTGAATTGTAGCAAATTGCAATCTAGGTAATGTAAACCTAGTTCTACATGATTTTAAAGTGGATAGTATCCGAGTTGAATTTGAAATTCGACTTAAATTGGGTGCCATTGTTTTATAACTCGAGCTTACTCCGAGTTAACTTTTTAATTTGTTGGAGTTGTAGTCATAATGCCTTATTTATTTTTCTTTTTAAATTAATGTGGAGCAAGTTAAGTAGAAGGTCACACCCCCATTATTCCCTTGAGTGTGGCAGCCAATGCTAAGCTCTGATATTGGAATACAGAGTGTGGATGATGGCTGTGAATTAAAAAAAAATGTAATCAAAGAATCAATCGGGTTATAAAAAGTGTGGTAGCCCTTTAGAGCTGGATTCCAGAGCAACACTCTCTTCAGGCCCACACACATTGACAGTAAGGTACAATTGAGTGTCTGCATGCTTTGCTTACCAAATTAGGCATCTTCTTGTTGGGGATCTAGAGGGTGAGTTATAGTTGGAGCTGAAATTAGAATTGAAGTTCGATTTGACTGAAATTCAAGTTCAATTCTGATTTAACTCGAATTCAATCTTCTGTTGAGTTTTTATGTTTTTCGTTTGGGCCCAATTAGGTGCAAGCAATTTGTACTACACTACTTGAATATTTTAAGTTGAGAATGACTCAACCATCCCCCTACTAGACCTAAAGATTGCGGGTTCAAGCCTCACCCACCCCATTTTCATGTGTACACTATTTAACAAATAAATAAATGAATAAAGCATTACCCAAATGACAAAAGAAATGAAGCATTGCTGACATCTAATAGCTTAACCTATTATTGATAGTATATACATAATTTTTTTTTTATTTTAGAATCAAGTAATCAAATGAAAAAAAAATCAACCAACAAAAAAAAAAAGTCGGTTATCAAATCATATGATAAGGGACCACTTTTTCATAGTTGAAAATTTAATACCGTAATTATTAAATTTATTACCAAAATTTAAACTTTTTTCATTTTATCCTTGTTAATATTAAAACACTAACCATAACTGATGCCTAAAGGCACCATGTAACAAAAAATCCGAGCATGCAAAAGACCGATCCCACTACATTAAATAGCTATTTTTCTTTTCTTCATTTTCTTTAATTCTATAATTTAAAATTAATTTTTACCCATTATTTTTAAAAAAAAAATTGACAACTTTCTTTCAAAATACATGACCTCAAAAAAATTATTAACGAGTGTACACTANTTAAAAAAAACTGACAACTTTCTTTCAAAATACATGACCTCAAAAAAATTATTAACGAGTGTACACTATTGTATATAAATAATATCTGCAATAAAAATTATATTAATCAACAAGTGATAAGAATGAGTGACGAGATAGAAATGAACGAAGAAAATATGTGGGGGCAAAATTTAAAATACTAACTATCTCATTAAATAAAGATTTAAACTTGCACTTTTTAATGTAAGAGCATTGTCGTGAGGAATAAGTATTCGGGACCACGTACACATGGTCGATCACATCTTGGGAGTTGGTTTCGTTTGAAACATTGGACCAATGATCAACTATGACTTGATCACTTTTGCATATATGGATGATAAAAAAAAATTAGAAGTAAATATTATTTAGCTAAAGAAAAAGACATAATTGTATTNTAAGTATTCGGGACCACGTACACATGGTCGATCACTTCTTGGGAGTTGGTTTCGTTTGAAACATTGGACCAATGATCAACTATGACTTGATCACTTTTGCATATATGGATTATAAAAAAAAATTAGAAGTAAATATTATTTAGCTAAAGAAAAAGACATAATTGTATTTCTTAATGAACGAAGACGACAGTTTAAAGAAAAGCGATGGTTAACTTAAAATTTCCATTTGTCTTTGTTATTGGCCCAGTTGGAAGACCGAAAAGACACGTGGGCGTTGAGCCGTCAAGACAAGACAAAGCCCAGAAACCAAACCCAGTTATAATCTCAGCCTCCAAGAATTGATTGATGGTAGAAATTCAACAAATGGTAAGACTGTCCAAGGATCAATGGACAACTGTCATTTTATATTAATCGTTGTGTCAATTTCGTAGTGTTACATTTTCATGACATGACAACCTAGATTGTTAGTCAAAAAGCACGAGGAAATATACTTTTTCGTCTACTTGTCAGCATTGTCCCTATTGCTTGAAAATGCGCGTGCAATGTGAAATTCAAACACTTCTTGTAGAAATCAATGAAAAGTCAAGATAGAGCAATAGACGCAACTGAAAGAAAAATTGACACTTTCTCTTTAATCCAATCTACTACGCATGCAAATCCGATAAATTCAAAAAAATACATTTGAGTCATATCCGGGTAAAATGATAAAAAAAAAAAAAATTACAACATTTTATCGAGTTCTTTTTGTTTGTAATATTCGATTATACTATTTTCAAGTACAAATCATATCAAATTTTTATTGTACGAACATTCCATACAAAAAACTACAATCACTAGGGTTTTGTCTCTTTAGGGAAGAGGGCAAAAGGTGATCATATTTCATGGCATATTATTATTATATTAACCACCTGGCTGCTTGTGTATACAACGTTATTACAGCCAACGAAGAGAGGGTCCATGGTCTTTTGCATAATCCATGACTGAAATCTTTACCTAATTATGTGTCTCAAAATAAGTAAAATATATTCTACCCTTTCATGGCATAAAATATGATAGCTTTAAAAATTAGAAAGTAAGAGTACGTCTACCACGTCAATATTATTTTTTTTTTTGAAAATAAAAGAGGGTTTGAGAGGACAATTGAGGTGGAACTTTCGCAATCATAGTAGATTGAACTCACGATGGAAACCTACTAGCAGGGCTTAAACGACAGGAAACCGCAAACGTTCTCAAACGTCTACTTAAGTCATAGTTTAATCTCCGTACCACAGAATTGTTAGTGAAAATATCAGGAGTTCCCATGAATCAAACATTACTTGCTAAATAATCTCATGGGAGTCTGAGTTGACTCGAAATGAGATACTGCAAAC